ATTTTACTCCCTTATTCCATCGCCATATAGGGATAATACGCTAGGTCTATTAACCTTCTACATTCCATTGACTGAAGTAAAATGGTCGCGCATCTTCGGGATGATGGAGAGGAATCGCAACCAGCTGAATGTGGAAGATTACTCAATCAGCCAGACCACGCTTGAAGAGATCTTTTTGGAGTTTGCCAGGAACCAGCGAGAGGAATCCAATGCAGAAAATAAAACCAACTAAGGGCCTTTTCCGTTCTTAGATCTACTTGTGGAATGTCATCAATAGCACACAAAACTTAATAGGAAATTCAAGTCAATTCATTAATTTAATTCAGGATGATGAGTTTTTTAATTTCTTAAAAATCTTAACCAACAACTAAACAATAATTGAAGTCAGAAAATTCAAAAAAACATATATGTATATTTTCTAAGCCTCGACTTATCACCATCGTCAACTCCAAAATATAAAGCAAATCACAAATGTTGGTTTTTTTAATAATCCTAAAGATGTTGACTGGTATTACAGCTTTTGCTATTAATTCAAACCTTTCATGTTACTGAGATCTGTTGATATATTGGGAGACATCAGTATGCAATAATGCTGCAATAAGATTCTAATTAATATAGAATTTATAAAGCCAATTGCCGCATACAAATGTGTGCGATTGCCAAATCTCAGTTACCACGCAGTTACCTTAACTTCCTTCCAGTTGCACGTGCATCGGGTGACAAGAATTGTCGACAGCAAAAACAAAGTTCCAGCCATCCAAGCATTCACCTTCATAATAGTAACCATAATTGTCAAGATCCGTCATTTCGCAGTCATCTGCCCTTGGGGCATAAAGATCTTTTGTTAAGGCAAAGAAAAACTTGCTGGAGACAAACAGTACAGCGCGTGCTTAAAGACAAACACCTGCAAAGAGGCATAGCCTTAGTTAAAGTATAAGCATTAGCCCTTCTAAACGCATTTGATAATCAACTAACATTTGTGTTTCGACACTGAAAGTTTTCTTATCAGAACGACAGTTCCTTTGGAAAAAATACGCACTAAAAATCTTAAATAAAATTATAATAAGTAAGATAAACAGTTTACTATGGATCCATCATAAACCCACTCCAATGGAACCGCATCGTACAAATCGCTACATTGTACAACCAATCAACGTTCTTATTAGAACTATGCTATGACCAATGAATATATATCTCGCTCATTAACTACAAGAGTGACGCATCTAAAAAATAGCATTTCCAGATAAAGGCATTTAAAGCTTTCAGTCGCCTTATGACATACATGATTGAACATTTGAGCTTGGTGTTTTAAGGATAGGATATATATTAAAACAAATCGTTTGACCTTGTGCATTCTGTTGACAAATAGCGTCCACCTATGAGGAAATCTTTCGGAAGTTAAATAAAAATCTGATAGAGGAGTCACCTTCATATATCTAAACCACTTTTAAGGTGCTTCTCTCACTTTGTCTCAACCTCACATAAAATTCTGACATCACTGAATATATTTACTTTAATAGCTAAAATAAATAATTAAAATATTAACTGCTTGTATGTAATGCAATGCAATTTTTTTGCATCTATGAATGAATCTCTTGAAGTGTAAAGTTCAATAGGCCCCCTGGCCCATTTCCAGTAGCGTATTATTTCGAGATCGGCCAGGTGAGGCTGGGGTTTGAGCTAGAATCGAGTTGACAGCCGTTTGAAAGGGTTTTCCATATCAAATGGATATCTGTGCCAAGACGCTGGCTGCGGTGACTGTTTCTGATGTTTTTGATTTTTTTTTGCGTTATGGCAGAATAGCGACTCCAAGGTTGCGTAAATTCATCACATCAACTCACTCCTGGGGGCAGAGCTACTGCAATTTTGTAAATTTTTTCCATTTGGTTACCTCATGGCTAACGCGGATTTATATATCACTTTGGATGGGCCTGTTTCTTTAGTTATTTATTTTTTATTAAACACCCGAACACAGATGAATTCCAAATTCGTGAGGCTATAAATTAAAAAGGGACATGGAGCACAGCATGGCGAGTGGGTGGGGGCTAAAGATGGAGTTGGAGATGGAGGCATCATTGTGTCATGCCGAGAGTCGGGGCTTCATGAGCTTGTAGTCTGATTTTTGGCCTGAGCTGAGATGTCTCTTGGTCGTCTGGGACTTGGATGATGTCGCCGCAGTCGCTAATTTCATATGCATGCAATGGAGCGTGGCCTAATGCGATGTTGTTTGCCGCAGATGCATGTGCATTATACACGTTCGATGGCCTGGTACAGGGGTCTAGAGGTGATAGTTCCCAGGGTAAGGGGCCTTTCCCTATCCGGCAGTAAGGCCACTTTATTAGTTCGCTCTGGTCACCTCTTCATATGTATTTATCCAGCTCGGGCCACGCAGTTTATTTATATTACCTGTTGCGTTTGTCCTCGTGTCATATCAAATTAAATGAGAAGGGGAATTTATGCCAGCCCGACTGGGAAAACAACAAGGCAATGGTATCAAAAAAGGTCGGGGCCTTACATACCCTAACAAAGTAGTGAAACTTTCAGATAAAAGTTTAACTTTTTTCAAATTTAATATATATATAACCTGAGCTGATACGATTTATAATACTATAAATATGTATGTATCCTATAAAGAAATCGCTAAAAAAATAAGTAATACTTTCTTAACATGTCTTAAATTGCAATTGTGCTGCAAATAGTTTTGATAAACTAATTTGAAATTCAGGAATTTTGGTGTGAATTGTTCTATTAATAGCTCAGAAAATCCCACATACCCGCAATAAGTGTATCCAGCTCTTTTCATATTGCGCAGCTGCCAAAATGGTTCTGGAACTTTTCCTTGGACCAACTGTTGGTAAGTTGGCATCCTGAATGAACTCATTATACAAACAGCAACACAATGGAACAGGTGGACGATTCAACTTCCCGGTTGCGATGGATTTGCGCCTGTGGATTGGCCATCTCGGTGTATTCACTGTACGTGAAAATGAAACTGGAGGAAGATGAGAACTACAGGCCGATGTGCGATGTGAACGAAAACATAAGCTGCTCGCTAGTCTTTAAATCAGTGTACGTAAAATTGTATTTGAGATGATAGTCTTTAAATAATGCGGTCTTCTTAAAAACTCAGCTATGGTGAAGGCTTTGGTCTGGGGGAAATAACCAAACTGAATTTTCCGAATGGAGCCATAGGATGTGTCTTCTACCTCCTCTACTTTCTAAGCTGTGAGTATAAAATAATGTAAATAAGTTGTTTTAATACTTTTAATTTACAGCTTTCTATCAGAATCACTGGTTGTGCTTGGCCCAATTAGTAATTTGCACTTTGACCCTTTTTCTCTGCGTTTATCTGGGCTTCCTGCTACTTTTTGTCTTTTACGATTGCTGTTTAGTGTGCTTGGCCATCTATTTCATACACACCTGGCTCTTCCAGGAAGTTGTAAGGCGCTATAGACGTCTCTATATGTAAGAGTTTATACATTTAAGCCAAAGTATTAGGTTATAATAAAGATAAACCCCTAAGATGAGCTACTAACCAGTGAGTTATTTTAAACTGTCGACGTGTTATATGTAAGATGCTTATCTTCATCTCTCATTTTTCTGTTGACCCACACGTATGGCTGTAAGCAGGATGTCGAGCCGACAGCTTCCAACACCCATGACCAAGCACGTAGTGGGGCAATTAAATCTGCACGTTCCCATTTGCCTCCGAAGGCTGTGATCTGTGATCTGTGATCCGCGAATGGCGCTACTGCCAACCGACTTGGCCAAGTTAAAAAGGTGGGCGGACTGCGAAAACTCAGCACAATTAATTTCCCATAAGTTCGGGAATCCCTTTGTGTGGGCTGGGTTTCCGATTTGGATGGTCTGAATAGCTGAATCAATGAATGGGTGGAAATATGTCCTATGGGTATAGCCAAATCTCAGTAGGGTCTTCAAAGTAGTGTTTTGTTAGCTTTTTAATTTGATGTACAGATTTCATATATTGTTTATATTACATATATTTTATAATTATATCTCATGATTTGTTATCTGACTTTTGCAATCTCTATTCAATCTGCACTTTCAAAAATATATAACAATCTTCTTTTAAGCTCCTAGTTCTTATGTCGTTTTATTAGAAATGATTTTATTTCCATATTACATCTAATTGAGCTGTCAGTTGGTGAACCTCCAGCTTCATTGATCTAATGATCTGTATTCTGAATACAATCATTATCAATTCACTAGACTTTTGGTATAGATTATCTGCATACCCTACTTTTCCAATTGACTCTCCGATCTCCATCTCCATCTCCACAATCTCCGATCATATCGACTCGACCCTTCTACACCCATCAGACGCATCTGCGGATACTACTCCCAATTGGGGTCGCCGTTGGCACGATCTTCTTCAATATGTCGCTGGGCTTTTTATTATTATTTTTTCTATTTTCCGCTCTGACAAGACAGGGCAAACAAATGCAAACTTCGGCGCTTGTCACAGCAGCGACTGAACCACTCGCTTGGGAGAGTGAGCCGCGGCAGACGCCGCCGACACATTCACCCAGTGGAGTACACCGAGTAGACTACTTTGGGCCAACGCAACTGGGGATCCAAATGCACAATCACCACCTCGCCGCGCCTCGAGAAGATGTGCGCCAGAAGAAGGCAAATCAGCCCGAGACCGAAACCGAGGCACCCTTCACGTGCAAACCTGGCGGAGATTGGAGCTGGGGGGAGTGCTCTACGTGGAGTGGAGCAAGCTCAGTGATTGAGATTTTTGCTTTGGACCCCGCATAGAATCAACCGAAGACGATCGTATGTGGCAGCAGCCGCAGCAGCTGTTGTGCCGGTTGCCACACGCTCCAAAAGCCACCTCCAACTCATAATCGAGTTCGTCGGGAGTGTGTGTGTGTGTGCATCCTAGACTTTCAGTTTTTCGGTTTGCCACATATAAATACGCCATGTGGCAGCAGCTAGAGATCAGTCAGAATTCGGCGCTGCTTCCAAGCGCTAGCCTCATCCCAGAGATTCCGATCAGCAGCAGTCCCGCAGTCCAGATCCAAGTGGAATATGTTCAAGTTACTCGGTTTGACGCTGCTCATGGCAATGGTGGTCCTTGGGCGACCGGAGCCGCCAGTCAACTCGTATCTGCCTCCCTCCGATAGCTATGGAGCACCGGGTCAGAGTGGTCCGGGTGGTCCCGGTGGTCCGGGCGGCAGGCCATCGGATTCGTATGGAGCTCCTGGTGGCGGAAGCGGCAATGGCAACGGTGGACGACCCTCGGACAGCTATGGAGCACCAGGATTGGGCCAGGGTCAGGGACAGGGACAGGGACAAGGTGGATTCGGTGGCAAGCCCTCGGATTCCTATGGAGCTCCTGGTGGCGGAAGCGGTGGTCGTCCCTCGAGTAGCTACGGTGCTCCCGGCCAGGGTCAAGGACAAGGACAAGGACAAGGCGGCTTTGGCGGCAAACCCTCGGACTCGTATGGTGCTCCTGGTGGTGGCAATGGCAATGGCAACGGAGGACGTCCATCGAGCAGCTACGGAGCTCCTGGCCAGGGACAAGGCAACGGAAATGGCGGTCGTCCTTCGAGCAGCTATGGTGCCCCTGGTGGCGGCAATGGCGGTCGTCCCTCGGACTCCTATGGTGCTCCAGGAGGCGGTAATGGTAATGGCGGACGTCCCTCGGACTCTTATGGCGCTCCTGGTGGTGGTAACGGAAATGGCAGCGGCAACGGCGGTCGTCCATCCAGCAGTTACGGAGCTCCTGGTCAGGGTCAAGGTGGATTTGGCGGACGCCCTTCGGACTCTTATGGTGCTCCTGGTCAGAACCAGAAGCCCTCGGACTCCTATGGAGCCCCAGGTAATGGCAATGGCAATGGCAACGGCGGACGTCCTTCGAGCAGCTATGGAGCTCCAGGATCCGGGTCAGGATCAGGATCTGGTGGCCGACCCTCCGACTCTTACGGACCCCCCGCCTCGGGATCTGGAGCTGGTGGCCCTGGAGGCAGTGGACCCGGTGGCTCTGACTACGAAAACGATGTGAGTAGATGGGTAGCTTGAAAATACGGGTTTGGATGCGTTTATAAGGGATCACTGGGTGGAAAAGACCAAAAAGGGAACACCGCTCCGCTGCACACTTGCTCTTGCTCGTTCTCGCTCACCTGCACCGCCATCGGCGTTTAAAGCTTGCATCATCCCCCCCAGAAATCTGAATTCTTGATCCCAGCCACTCTATCTCTCTGTGTTTCTCTCTTTCTCCACACGCCCCAAATCCGCTCTCCATTCTCCATGATCCGCTGTCCATGATCCATGATCCATGATCCATGTTTAGGAGCCCGCCAAGTACGAATTTAATTACCAGGTTGAGGACGCGCCCAGCGGACTCTCGTTCGGGCATTCAGAGATGCGCGACGGTGACTTCACCACCGGCCAGTACAATGTCCTGTTGCCCGACGGACGGAAGCAAGTAAGCGGCGTCGGTGGCGGCGGCGGCGGGCAACAGGAGTCGATGTGGACCCACCCACTGCTCCCCCTCCTCCTGTCACGGCTAACCCTGGTATCTCTCTGTCTTCCCTAGATCGTCGAATACGAGGCCGACCAGCAGGGCTACAGGCCGCAGATCCGGTACGAAGGCGATGCCAACGATGGCAGTGGTGCCAGCGGTCCTGGTGGCCAGAATCTGGGACCCGATGGCTACTCTAATGGACGCCCTGGTAATGGAAATGGCAATGGCGCTGGCGGCTACTCTGGAGGACGTCCTGGTGGTCAGGATCTGGGTCGCGATGGCTACTCCGGTGGACGTCCAGGTGGGCAGGACCTTGGCGCAGGTGGCTACTCCGGTGGCCAGGACTTGGGACCCAATGGTTACTCCGGTGGTCGCCCAGGTGGTCAGGACTTGGGTGCTGGTGGCTACTCCGGTGGTCGCCCAGGAGGTCAGGACTTGGGTCGCGATGGTTACTCCGGTGGACGTCCAGGTGGTCAGGACCTTGGCGCAGGTGGCTACTCCAGTGGCAGACCTGGCGGCAATGGAGGCAATGGCAATGGCAACGGCAACGGAAATGGTGGTTCCGATGGCGGTCGTGTGATCATCGGTGGTCGCGTGATTGGCGGCCAGGATGGCGGTGACCAGGGCTACTCTGGCGGACGTCCTGGTGGTCAGGATCTGGGCCGCGATGGCTACTCCAGCGGTCGCCCAGGCGGTCGACCAGGTGCCAATGGCCAGGATAACCAAAATGGTCAGGGATACTCGAGCGGCAGGCCGGGTGGTCAGGGAGGATTCGGCCCCGGTGGTCAGAACGGCGACAACGATGGCAGCGGTTATCGGTACTAGAGACGACTCACAGACACATTTAGCTAGATCCCTCGAACATATAGCAATACCTAGTTCTAAGTCCTTCTAGAAATACACACATACGTCCACTATCTTTCTCCGCATCCTTCGACATCTATTTGTGCCCATTCTTCTCTCTTTCTCGCTGTCTTCCGTCCATTACGCTTCCCCGATTCCTCGTAGCCATAAGACCCTGTTGTTGTAAAAGCATGTGCGAAAAATAACCCAAAAAAAATAATGAAATGATAAAGCTATTCAGATGTAAGTAAAGAAATTAAATATATATTTTTATACAAACCTTGGAGTTTTTAATTGGTGAAGAATAATGGAGGGCTTTCTTCTTCGGAGGTCTATATTTGAAAAAAAAGGGTTGAAATAAGGAAACCAGAACTAAACAAGAAAAAACGCCAAAACGAAAACTTTTAATGTGGAATACTAGGGAATTCAGCCACAAATTCATAGAGGTATCACACGTTAAAATCGGACTTCAATAACTAAAGTTATGGAATCTGGAAGTGCAGTTTTGGGTCCCCATTCGGAACGCCATTGGAATTACGAAAAAATCGAACATGAAAATGGGTTAAAATTTGGACTCTCGCCAAAAAGAAAAGTTTTAATGTGGAATATTAGGGAATTCAGCCACAAATTCATAGAGATATCACACGTCAAAATCGGACTTCAATAACTAAAGTTATGGAATCTGGAAGTGCAGTTTTGGGTCCCCATTCGGTACACCATTGGAATTACGAAAAAATCAAACATGAAAATGGGTTAAAATTTTCACCCTCGCCTAGAAGAAAACTTTTAATGTGGAATATTAGAGAATTCAACCACAAACTCATAGAGGTATCACACGTCAAAATCGGACTTCAATAACTACAGTTATGGAACCTGGAAGTGCAGTTTTGGGTCCCCATTCGGTACACCATTGGAATTACGAAAAAATCAAACATGAAAATGGGTTAAAATTTTCACCCTCGCCTAGAAGAAAACTTTTAATGTGGAATATTAGAGAATTCAACCACAAACTCATAGAGGTATCACACGTCAAAATCGGACTTCAATAACTAAAGTTATGGAATCTGGAATCTTTACCCAGCTAAGGGGATTGTGATATATGCAAGCACATTGAAAAAAGATGGACAAATCAAAGCAAATATCTGGATATTGAACTTAAAGTTTCGCGTTACATATTTGAATTAAATACAAAAACGTTACTTTTAACAGTCAGAAAATATTTTTTATGATGTTATTTATATTTACTTTAAATATTTACTGTCATTATCTCTGGGAGATATATGTAGTTATCCGATTCGGCTTATGTACTACATGGAATAGAAAAAAACTCTTGGGAACGTTTCGACCATCGGATGTTAATCGCAGTATAAAAGAATATATAAAGATTAGACAATTAAATAAGTTTTATTAAATATTTATTTAAGCGTTTCCGCTGAAACTGACTGAAGGCATTATTGAAAACAAAAAATAACTTCCAAAACCGGGACTTGAGTGTCGCCGCCTTTGAATTCGAATCTTTAGCCCACTCGATTACAACAAAATGCCTAATTCAACTCCTTAACCAACATATAAATTATAAATTTAAAATTATAATGATTAGAAAACGGCTAAAATTCTCACTAGCCGTTATGTTATAATTTATCCCCATTTGATAACTGAAAGCGGCTAGGTCTAGTGGGAAAATAGCTAAATTGGCACAACTGGCGTTGGGAAAACATCCATAAGATATCGATGTTAACTAAAACAATAAGAAACGATATTTCTATCGATGTCTCTTTTCCTCCAATACATCGCTGTCTCTATCGATGTCTCTCCACCTCCAATCCATCGGTGCTTCTATCGATGTTTCTCCACCTCTAGCGTCGGTGTCGCGCGCGGATTGCTATTTGCTGGTCAATTATCGCATTATCGCTGCCCTCGCAGGAATAAACAAACGAATTCGGAGCCCGTGGAAAAGCCAATAAGTGTAGTGAATAGCAATTAAAGGAGCGCGACATCGCGGCTGTCTTTGTACAGCATTGATCGAGTTAAGATGCCTCAGTTGGCTGGCGAAGTGAGTTGAAAGCGGTGGGGGGTTGGTGGGGGCTGAACTATAAATAACAATATGCATTGCTATTTCGGCTGGGCGTCGCTATCTTTAAGTTTGTCCATTTGTCGCCCCAAAACGGCCAAGATCCAAGTGGCAAGTGCAATTGGCGTTCTTTTTTCGGACCGATTACGAAACTACACCAAAAGTGGGTGGTGAGTGGGCGCTGGGCGGTGTTTGGTGTTCCGTGGGCTGTGGGCGGTGGGCGGTACACTTTGCATACAATGAGCTTAGAACCTCAACGAAAGCAAATTGCGTGAGTGAGTGCCTGTGTATCCGTATCTGTATCTGTGTTTATGTTCGGCTTCCCGTTTTTCGCTTTTCGTGTTCAATGCTATCGATTTGTTCCCCTGCCGGCGGAACCAATATATTTATATGTACGAATAAGTCTCGAGCTGTGAATCATCAGGGGGCGGGGGCGGGGCGGTCAATAAAGTTCACTTGGCACTTCCTTTCGGCATTAGATCAGGTGATAGATAAGAGGTCTGATAAGCAGATACTTAAAAAGGTCCAGAAACACCTTTCGAAATTCAAGTGCCAGCTGCTGCTGATACACACACTGGAAAAAAGAGGTGTTACTATTAAAGAAAAAAATAAAGACAAACTAAAGATCAATATTTAATGTTCTTAAGTAAAAAACCTAAGAATACAATGAAAAGCTGAGATAGAAAGAATCTATTACTACTACATATTATAGGAAATAGATATACTATGGAAAATAGATTATATCTTTCTCAATAACATTGTATTCTTCATTATAAGAAATATATTGCTTCTTTGTCAATACATTTCCATTATAATATAAAAAATATAAAAACGGTTATTGTAATGACTATAATCATAGATGACACAATAATTTTATTTTTTGTGTGCTTGTCCGTGATGTGTTTTCAGATCTGGTAGGATCAAATTATTAAAAAATAAAAAAAAGCAAATCATATAAATATATTGAGTACATTGATGGTTATTTATTGATTTCGTTCAAATTTCGTAAGACTTTTTTAATTTCAAAATATACATACCACATATTAATTTGGTACTTAGGGGCTCAAAACCCCTTTACATTTTTCTCAGTGCAGTTGCTTATCCTGGACTCGTCCAACAGGATATGTGCGACAGATGTTTTTGCCTGCGTTACAGAGATGCTGAAATGCTGAATTTCAAGGTTTCTCCCCCTCGCTTCCAATTGCCTTTTGTTCATATGTGCATATTCCTTCAGTTTTAAGTACAGCCACTCGAACCAGAAATTGGGTAAGTGGCTCAGTTCTAGGCTCGATGCTCCGACTGGATGGATGCTCACCAAGTGACCCACTTTGGTGGCTCACATGTGGTGTGGATCGCATGTACATATAAGCACCACCTCATGGAACAAATACAAAACATGAGAATAGGAGATGAAAGAAGAAACCCCAGCTTGGCCTTCCTTCGCATTGTTTTTTCTAAGTTACCCTATAAGTGGGTATTATAATTGCTGCCCGAAGTTTGCTAGGTTGCAAAGAAAAAATCACGAGATCTGTAAATTGCATCTGAACATTCTTATCTAAGCGCACATTTGTCCATTTAACGTTGCAGGTATTTACAGACATAAATAATCTCCATTTCTGCTCATATATCTACCTGTTTTTTTCTCTCGAAAACAAATCTCTAAATCTAGATGCCATCTGTTTGAAATTATGCACAGAACCTTTATTCTGTTTTGTGTTGTATACAAAAATTCGGAATAGCCGGAAACGGATGGCTATATCATTTGGCAGCCACAAAAAAAAGTACATCTCGTATTTATGGCAGTATGTTTGTTGTACAGGAGGATATTTTAAGGAAATTCCTTAGGTTTTTATTTTTCTTATGTATTATAATATGAATATTGTCTTTTGGTACGTATGAAAGTATATTCTAATGATATCATATGCTGCATATATTTTATTTTTGGTAAAGATCTATAAATTGTCTCAATTCTTAGGGTAATTCCGTCTTCGATCTTGAAAGCCAGCCTTTCTTGCTTTGTTGCTGCCTAGGCACTTTTCCATTCGTAGTTTCTCTCTTGTTTTTAACCAGCGTAATTGCATGTATTTATTCTGGCCCGACAGTGTGAGCAAATAGTTAGACTATTGCCTGATAACGCCCCTTGGTTTTCAATGGGGGGATTAGCTAAATGTTTTCCCACTCACATAGAGAACCTCCAGTCGAAGGTTGATCGTATTAAATGCTACATATTTCATTTAATCGCAATCTTTCGAGGCGGTTATTGAACCTGACAGCAGAAAATTGAAAATGCGAAGATCACTGGCGACAGCCACTCGCCGTTGACCTTGTGTAACGATAATTTGTGTAAATATACATTTCGCCACAGTTTCTGAACGGCAAAGAAAGCTGCTCCAGAGATCTTTAACCCGCCTTTCTAGAACTTGAGGGTCAGTGCGAGTCAGCGAAAAGGTTGAACTGCAAATTCTCTTGATGGTCAGTTGTCATCACTGCGAATTCCAGAGCGACCCACAAGTGAAAGAATTTATCAATGGAAAACGCCAACACGAAAAGCGAGAAAACGAGAAAACAACGCCGAGTTTCCTCGAGATTATGTAGAAATGTGCGGCTATGTATTGTATTTTATTTAAATACAATTGCAGGCCTGATAAACAAAAAAAGTGCTGAGGAACAGAATGGCGGAGGCAAATGTGATTTCCTCGAATCTTAGCGTACAGCTGTGCTGTTTGTTTTCTTTCAAGAAATTTATGTAAAAACAATAAACACACTGTACTGTTTTCTGGAGGGGGAGTATCTTTAGTGGGCGGCATTTCGCCCCCACACACAAATTTCGCCATATCCCTGACCACGAAAACAACCATCAAAAGTTTACATACTCGCATTAAAGGAGCGCGCTGTCTGGCATGAATTATTTACATATGCCATTGATTAAATTGTACCCAGTGGGCAGATCTTTATGTGCGAGTTAATTGTTTGGCTTTAATTGCATTTGATATCTCCATAAAAACGCCGAGCAAACAAAAAAAATTCTAGAAGGAAAATGGCACAGATTGGCGTATATGTATACATATAAATATTCAGAAGAGAGCAGTGATGGAATATGGAATAGTTCAAATAGTCAATAAAGTCCATTTGCTCAAAATTTTGAGGCAGTCGTCTGGCATTTTGGAATATAATTC